CGTGTTTGATAGGAGTGAATGGAGACAAATGGTTTTTAATACTTGACGTGCTGTTGGAGTGTGAGCAAAGTAACATTTATGAAGGGGTTCAGGGAAACCGGCAGGCCGGACTTGAGTCCTGGAGATGGGAAGTACAGTGCCTGCACTCTGAAGGAGGGGTGTTAATATTGCAGTTTAAAAACTGTAGTGTAAAGCACCCTTCTGGCAAGACAGTGATGGAGTGAATGATGGTGAAAGTTTTTCTTTTTCGGGCCACCCTGTCTTGGTGGGAATCGGCCAGTGTGATAATAAAAAAAATATTTTAAGAAAAAGAGGATAAATAAGTATACAAGATATGATGTAGGGCGAAATGACAGTAGTTTGTTGGATTATGTATTGGTAGATAAAAGACTGTTGAGTAGACTTCAGGATGTACATGCTTATAGAGGGGCCATAGATACATCAGATCACTTTTTAGTTGTAGCTACACTGAGAGTAAAAGGTAGATGGGATACAAGGAGAATAGAAGCATCAGGGAAGAGAGAGGTGAAGGTTTATAAACTAAAAGAGGAGTAAGTAAGTAAGTAAGTAAGTTTATTCAGGTATACACAAATACAGTTACATAGAATTATCATACATAGCAGCTTATGTGTAGAGAACCTAGGATAACCCAAAAAAGTCAGAGTGACTTATTTCCATTGGGGTCCTTTTACCTTATTATTATAATATAAAGGTTATAATATTTTCTTATTATTCTACAATGAAGATAACATCTTATTATCATTCTAAAAAGACTATCTACTACATGAGGGTCATTAAGACTATCTACAATACGAGGGTCATTACTATTAATAAGGTAAAATTTATACGTATGTTAGCTAAAAAATAGAAAATCATTCCCCTCCCTTTCTGTAGCTACATTCATCAGACACCTTTTGGCACTCTTCTTGAACTGGTTCATGCTATGACTGGCTTTGACATGTGCGGGTAGTCTGTTCCATTCCTTTATTGCTGTACAATAAAAGGTGTTTGACGCCTGGCCAATGACTGTGGGTACTACAAAGTTGTGCTCCCTCCCCCTAGTACTATGATTGCTTTGGTTCCCAACCTTGACAAAATTGACAGCAAGATATTCTGGAGGCAGTTAGGGTAAGATATAAACAGCTATTGGAGGATAGATGGGCTAATGAGAGCATAGGCAATGGGGTCGAAGAGGTATGGGGTAGTTTTAAAAATGTAGTGTTAGAATGTTGAGCAGAAGTTTGTGGTTACAAGAAAGTGGGTGCGGGAGGGAAGAGGAGCGATTGGTGGAATGATGATGTAAAGAGAGTAGTAAGGGAGAAAAAGTTAGCATATGAGAAGTTTTTACAAAGTAGAAGTGATGCAAGGAGGGAAGAGTATATGGAGAAAAAGAGAGAGGCTAAGAGAGTGGTGAAGCAATGTAAAAAGAGAGCAAATGAGAGAGTGGGTGAGATGTTATCAACAAATTTTGTTGAAAATAAGAAAGTTTTGGAGTGAGATTAACAAGTTAAGGAAGCCTAGAGAACAAATGGATTTGTCAGTTAAAAATAGGAGAGGAGAGTTATTAAATGGAGAGTTAGAGGTATTGGGAAGATGGAAGGAATATTTTGAGGAATTGTTAAATGTTGATGAAGATAGGGAAGCTGTGATTTCGTGTATAGGGCAAGGAGGAATAACATCTTGTAGGAGTGAGGAAGAGCCATTTGTGAGTGTGGGGGAAGTTTGTGAGGCAGTAAGTAAAATGAAATGGGGTAAAGCAGCCGGGATTGATGGGATAAAGATAGAAATGTTAAAAGCAGGTGGGGATATAGTTTTGGAGTGGTTGGTGCAATTATTTAATAAATGTATGGAAGAGGGTCAGGTACCTAGGGATTGGCAGAGAGCATGCATAGTTCTTTGTATAAGATTGCAATAGGGGACAACCCAAGAGTCAAAAATTATAGGGAATAAGTTCTTTGTATAGGCAGCAATGGGTAAAATGTATGGTAAGTGTATATATTGAAAGTAATTAAGAGTAAGACAGAGATATAGATAGCAGATGAACTAGGAGCTTAAGGAAAGGAAGGAGGGGTGGTGGACCAGGTGTTTACAGTGAAACATATAATTGAACAGTATTTAGATAAGGCTAAAGAGGTTTTTGTGGCATTTATGGATTTGGAAAAGGCATATGACAGGGTGGATAGGGGGGGCAATGTGGCAGATGTTGCAGGTGTATGGTGTAGGAGGTAGGTTACTGAAAGCAGTGAAGAGTTTTTACGAGGATAGTGAGGCTCAAGTTAGAGTATGTAGGAAAGAGGGGGATTATTTCCAAGTAAAAGTAGGCCTTAGACAAGGATGTGTGATGTCACCGTGGTTGTTTAATATATTTATAGATGGGGTTGTAAGAGAAGTAAATGTGAGGGGTCTTGGCAAGAGGCGTGGAGTTAAAAGATGAATCACACATAAAGTGGGAGTTGTCACAGTTGTTCTTTGCTGATGACACTGTGCTCTTGGGAGATTCTGAAGAGAAGTTGCAGAGATTGGTGGATGAATTTGGTAGGGTATGCAAAAGAAGAAAATTAAAAGTGAATACAGGAAAGAGTAAGGTTATAAGGATAACAAAAAGATTAGGTGATGAAAGATTAGATATCAAATTGGAGGGAGAGAGTGTGGAGGAGGTGAATGTATTCAGATATTTGGGAGTGGACATGTCAGTGGATGGGTCTATGAAAGATGAGGTGAATCATAGAATTGATGAGGGGAAAAGGGTGAGCGGTGCACTTAGGAGTCTGTGGAGACAAAGAACTTTGTCCTTGGAGGCAAAGAGGGGAATGTATGAGAGTATAGTTTTACCAATGCTCTTATATGGGTGTGAAGCATGGGTGATGAATGTTGCAGCGAGGAGAAGGCTGGAGGCAGTGGAGATGTCATGTCTGAATGCAATGTGTGATGTGAATATAATGCAGAGAATTCGTAGTTTGGAAGTTAGGAGGAGGTGCGGGATTACCAAAACTGTTGTCCAGAGGGCTGAGGATGGGTTGTTGAGGTGGTTCGAACATGTAGAGAGAATGGAGCGAAACAGAATGACTTCAAGAGTGTATCAGTCTGTAGTGGAAGGAAGGCGGGGTAGGGGTCGGCTTAGGAAAGGTTGGAGGGAGGGAGGGGGTAAAGGAGGTTTTGTGTGCGAGGGGCTTGGACTTCCAGCAGGCATGCGTGAGCGTGTTTGATAGGAGTGAATGGAGACAAATGGTTTTTAATACTTGACGTGCTGTTGGAGTGTGAGCAAAGTAACATTTATGAAGGGGTTCAGGGAAACCGGCAGGCCGGACTTGAGTCCTGGAGATGGGAAGTACAGTGCATGCACTCTGAAGGAGGGGTGTTAATGTTGCAGTTTAAAAACTGTAGTGTAAAGCACCCTTCTGGCAAGACAGTGATGGAGTGAATGATGGTGAAAGTTTTTCTTTTTCGGGCCACCCTGCCTTGGTGGGAATCGGCCAGTGTGTTAATAAAAATAATAATAATTATGCCTGTGAGTTCTATTGTATATATCAGGGCATGTTTAATATTAAAAGTGATTGTGCTGTGTATGTAGTAAGCACAGTAGCATGAGTGAATATTATGTATATTGAGTAAGTTAAACTTTGAAGAGTGGGTGAGTGTATTATCTTGCACTGGACTGGGTGATCATTCATATAGCCAACTTTTGTTGAGTTATTGGTTTTAGGTGATTTGCTGTAGTGGATCCCCAGGCACAAATACCATAGGTGAGGTAAGGATCGATTAGAGAGTACTATAATATAAGTAGTGTTGTTTGAGGTACATAGTAATGTATCTTAAGAGGATGCCAACTGATTTGGCAACTGAATGGCAACATAATTGGTTATACGCAAAAGTATGCAGTTTATAATAGATAGATAGCTCTTTCAGAAATGCATATTAGTTCAGTATTACTATTTTTATAATCATGTTCAGTATACAATAATTACAAATGGATCTTTTGCCTATTGTACCTGTGAATTAATTAATCATATGAATAAATACTTAAATGGCTTAAATTAAATTATGCAAACCTAGTCGGTACTGCATCTGAGTTACATATCACCTCCAAATATGATCCTCACATGCCAGACAGGACTCAGCTTAATGTCTTGCCTATTGGTAGTTTTAGTCTTCACAAAATACTTTGCATATTTTGAAGCACAAATGTTTGTATACTGTACCAGTGTTTATATTTTTTAATTAAGAGTAACATTTAGTTATTGAGCAAAGTAACATTTATGAAGGGATTCAGGGAAACTGGCAGGCTGGACTTGAGTCCTGGAGATGAGAAGTACAGTGCCTGCACTCTGAAGGAGGGGTGTTAATGTTGCAGTTTAAAAACTGTAGTGTAGAGCACCCTTCTGGCAAGACAGTGATGGAGTGAATGATGGTGAAAGTTTTTCTTTTTCGGGCCACCCTGCCTTGGTGGGAATCGGCCAGTGTGTTAATAATAAATAAAAATTTAGTTATTACAAAATTTGCAATTATTTAAGTGTCTATTTTTATGGCCATTTTAATTTATCAAATTACATTTCTGTGAACTTAAGATATTTGAGTGATTTTTGTGAATGATTGCAAATCTAAAAACTCATAGCAGTGGCATGAGAATAAGAGATAAGATATGTTATATGAATAACCAGAGAGGTGGTCTGCTTGATTTAGAACATTGGTAAAGTGATTCCTGATAATTTTTAATTGGAAAGAATAGGTGAATAAGTCTAATGACAGAGATATTTTTCTAAATTTTAATCATTAGAGAATAGCTCAAATTTGCAAAAGTTATACTACATGGTATGTCTCTATGTATGGCACAAACCTTAATGAAAAATACTGCATTTAAAATTTACACATAGATATTTAATAAATTTCAGTAAACAAAAATTAATACAGAAGATTGCTACAATGTATACTGAAGAGCATTTTAAGGAAAGTTTTTGAGTAATGTCACATTTTGCTTGTAGCTAAACAGAGTAACATTTCAGGGAAAACTTTCAAGACTATTGATCTCTCAGCACTGGTGACTTTCTTGCTAGTGTTCCACAATGACAAGCCTTGCGACTGGCTTCTTGATCACCTTGTTCAGAACAAAGTTTGCCGATTTGACCAGCCTTCGGTATGTCTAAGCCCTGATTCTGTTTTTTTTTTTTTTTTTACCTGGCTGGACTTAGCAAATGATGCACTCTACTTTTGAACTGGTGCAACATTTTTTAACAAGTGCTTCAAGATTAGTTTATCAGCAGTTCAGTGTTACCACAAGAGCTGGGACAAACCTTTGCCATGATCCTGTCTGAACTTACACTGGCACCAGTGTGGTGTGCAATGCACCTTACCCAGTTGTTACACTAGCTGCTTTACTCTTGAGGCTAACTTCTCAGCATTAGTGCACTACTCTTATAGTTTTGTAGTGAAATCTTACAGATTAGCAACTAAGATTGCACTTGTAGTAAAACCTCTTAATAATTTAACTAGTACAGGATATAGATATGCTAAACATTTTCTCTAACCAACTATAATGAAATTTAATTATGATAGATTTTTTCATTGAAAAGTCATTTGATACAATGCAGTAACTAAAAGTGCCCCAGTTCTAAGACTTGGTATTGTTAAGTGAAATGCATTCTACAGACAATGTGCAGTCTGCTTTACAAATTCAAGCTTTCTTTGATTATAATAATAATAATACAAATTCAAGAACTTCTTTATTTGCACTTTCAATTATCCAGTGTTTTAACTGACGGATAACCTGCAAACAGATGGTTATCCACAGGTTTCCTGGCAGTACCCATCTTTTTCAGACTTTGTGCACCATCCCTAGATTGAAAATTAACCCTAAGATTTCTCCCAAATGTCAGTATAACCAAGTTGGTCATATTCATTATTACAGAAATATGGTCTCTGAAGTACGGAATGATCCCAAATCTGAAACAGAATTTGTTATGTAGACTTACTTAATTTTGTAATTTTTTTTTTTTTTTTATAGCTTTGTGAGACCTCTAAAATGTAATCCACCGTGAATTTATAGGGACGACTGTAAGTTGAATTGCATTTTTTGTACTGTATAACATTACACTGTGTGCCAATTTATATAATTTAAGAATATGGTGAAATGTGTCTCGCTGAGATTTTTTTCTTCAGCAAGCAACCTTATCTTAGACTGAGGACCTCTTAAATATAACAAAATATTAATATGCCTATTTTTGCATTAAATAACAATTACAGTATACTTTCATATTAATTTCAAGAGTTCATATTCCCCCTCAAAATTATATAGGGGTTTGTATGTAAAATTTTTTATTAATTCTGCTTAAAAAAAAGCCTGTTAAGTTTTTCTTATATTAGAATATGAATTTACAGCATTAAAGTAGTACAGTGGAACCTCGGTTTTCGTTTTTAATTCGTTCTAGAGAGTCTGACAAAAATCAAATTCAACGGAAACTAAAGCAATATTTCCCATAAGAAATAATGTAAATCAAATTATGTAATCCGTTCCAGACACCCAAAAATATTAACAAAAAATACATTTTATAGAGAATATAGTTTTACATACAGAAAACAATGAGAAATAAATATAAAGCACAAATTTTAATAGATAAATGAACATTTAAATCAGTTTTACCTTTATTGAAGACTCTCGTTGGCATATTCTTTACGAGATCTGTATGCAACTGCCTTGCCTTTTTGCAGATTATTGCCTCCACAACGCTATCTCCCGCTAACTGTTTTTCATTGATCCACACCAACAACAACTTCTCAACATCTTTGATTGTTTGCCATCACTACACCATCTACCACCATCACTAACACCCTCTACCCCAATCACTACCACCCTCAACCTTTGTAGAGGGTGGTAGTGATATTTCTCCACAAAACTTTGCAACTCATTCTAAGAGTTCTTTCTTGAATTCTTCATATGAATGAGCAGGGAAATGTTCACTCGACAAGAAACACAGCCAGACTGACTTAGAATGCATGCGTGGGATGCTTTGTGTGGGCGCAGGCATGCGGACATGTTCCGTACGGCGGACGAAAACCAAGGTGACAAACGAAAACTGGGACAATATTTTGATGAAAAAAGTCATCGAAAACTAAATACGATGAAAACCAGGGCAAACAAAAACCAAGGTTCCATTGTATGTTAAGGAAGTGATTCTCAAATTTCAATTAAATGCATAATACAAGTATACCAAATTAAAACACTGCAGATGAATAAATGACAGTACCATACTTAGAATTCACATCTAGCCCACAATGTCTCTGTGCAAGAGTATTTAAGGAATTGTGCAGGTGCAGATTTGGCATCTGGATCTGGACACAGTTTACACACTGGTGATTTTGACCACTTTGAGACCTATTTTAAGCCAATTCCATTACTCAATTCAATCAATTTTTTAGTTATTTCATTAGTATATATTTTGTTCAGTCATTTGAACACAAGAAACTGACGACTCAACTATCAGAATTACCCTATAAAGTACACACAGGTTAGTAATTTGGCCAGTTTTACATAAAATTTAAAAAATTACAATTTAAAAAAGGCATCCAAAATAAACATTGTATGCATTCCAGCAACTAAAACAACATTTAATCACATTCCCAAGCCTCTCCTGTATTACACTTGCCCTCCATTTTGAATCCATCATCACACAAAAAATAAAAGTTTACCCAGTTTCATGTATAATAAAGTATAACCAAGATTGATTGGTCATGGTTAAGGCATCCCAATAATTGAAGCAGACCTATTAAAAACCCATAACACTGACCAGGTGGGGTAGGGCAACTTTACCCTTCCTCAGGAAAATTGTCAAAAATCTAATATTTGCACTATTTTGAGCCCTATTTCAAGTTACTTCTAGTCCTTAAGCTGACAAAAATAATCTCTACTTCAGTATTATGTCTTGTACTATCAATTGATGCTAAGAAACAACCAATAAAACCATCATAGAAAATACCTCGGCCACTATTTTAAACTAATCACAATGTCAAAGATTTGCTCTTCCCCATCAGGTACTGCATTGGGCAGGATTTTTTCTTTATACTGTGCACACTCGCTGCACATACTTAGTCTCATGTCCAGGCCAGAATTTACTGCTCACAGATAACAGAGTAATGCTAGGGCCAATAACATAGATCTATGCAAGAGACAGTGAAAGAGTTAATGATATCACTGCATATGACAGTGATACACTGATTATGATGGCATAACCTCAAAGATGATTTCAAAATCTTCACTTGCTTCATTTTAATGTGTCCATAAGAAAAATGTGGTAGGGCTGCTGAAGAATAAAAGTCACAATACCATATCTTGAACACTGTGCAATGAACTTGCAAATTAAGAATGGAAACTAGTCTAGGTTTTGGTTTGTCCTGAACTATTATTAAGTGACAAGTATGAGTAATTTGAAATTATCTTGTAAGTGACTTGATATTATCAACTGCTATTTGGTAATGGTCCAGGCTGAACAGAAATATTGCTTTGTTTCTATTTTAAATTTGTGTGTTAGCTATGAATTGGGCTGCAGATTTACTGCTTATATACTATACGACATAAATATATGCATGCCCTATAAGTGGAAGGTCAGTTACCTGTTCATTTTATTAGTTTTTTAATAAAGTATACTTTAAAATTAAGAAGGAAAGACAGTATAATTTTTTTTTTTTTGCAATAAACTTGGAAAATATTATATTTATGCCCCTCAAGGGAGATTCCTTGATACTGGCAAGGGGCTCTTGATCTGGGTAATTGAATCTGTGCTCCAGTTCTCTGAATTGAGCCTGAATAACTTCCATCCCCACCCCCACAGGCGCTGTATAATCCCTACGAGTTTATCGCTCCCCCATGATTATGATAATTATGTTTATGCTTGGATGACAAAAGAGTGATCACATAATATTTTGAACAATATCTATATACAATAATTCAGTTTCATAAAAGGAAAATGTTCATAACTTATGAAGATGAGGCTTGACATTATTCAATGAACTTAGTCCACATAAGACATCTTAAGAACTGGGGTATACTTGATCTTCTTCAATTATGAATGAGCTAAGCACTGACACATTTTAAATTATAGACAGTGGAATAAGGACTTACTAATGTGATGTTTGCTTTAATTAGATTATAACCTATGGTTTAGGGGGTTCTTTGGGTTACTGAGTACTTCACAATAACACTAGGTATATTTACATTTTCTGTAGCTCTGAAAAATACACTTTCACCTTTAGGCATAATTTTCAAGCATGTCTTTTTTTCTTGCATGATGTAAATTTTTTATGCCCTGCATTTGTAAATGAAGATTATTAGTACTTTGTAGTAAAACATATTATTTTGTTATTCTTTTAATGCCAATACTAAAACCAAATGTTATAGTTTTACACTTGGGGTTGAAGTCAGCAGCTATGGAAGCAGACTTTAAAAAAAAAAAAAAAAAAAAAATTTCTTTATATGCTTATGGCTGCACTGGATGTTTTGTATTTAATGGATAAAAAAAATTGTAAAGACTATATAAGACTTGTTTTGTTAGTTTTTATAATATTTGGAAAAGTCAGTTAATAATGGCCTTGATCATACAATGATCTCTTCAGCAATTTGAGCTGTATGACGGCGCATGACAGATCATTGGCGTTTAAGGGCTTGTATGCAAGTAGGGTTACCATTGGCCCTGTGGCAGGCCATAACAGCAGATTTACATTTTTCTACTTTATCCCCTCAGAGAGAAAAGTTCATGAAGAAATATTTTTACAGTGCAATATATAATGTATCTGTCTTTTTATTTAAAAATTTTTGGTTACTTGTGGGGAATTTTTTATGTTTGAGGCGTGCTCGCACAGTCCTCTGAAGCCATTTCAGATGTTTGTTAAAATTCCTGAAGTTACTAGTTAACTATTTGTAGAAGAATTCTGTAAACTGGTTTGATTGTGAAGAATGAAAGTGAGAATCCTGGAGCTAGAACGCTTCAGAACTATGTTAGGTAAAATGACACATGTGCAACTAATGTGACATTTTGTTGTGACAATGTTTTCCTCTCCAGGAGCATTGTCGAGATGTTATCAGCCAGTAGTGTCTTGACAAAATTTTTCAAATTATAATGGCAAGCTAAAAGTTGTCCTGTAATA